ATCACCAGAGGGAAAGTTAACATACCACATCCATTTTAGAGAATTCACAAACTCGGTTCCTTCTACAGCATCCATCCAAGATTAGATAAATGGGCATGTGCTTGTTACTAATTTAGAATTAGGTATTACAGCTGAGTTACAATAAGAAGTGCTTTAAGCACCTAAATTAAGTTTTGGCCAAAAGTGATTCATTGCGAACACAGACCGGTAGCAAAATTTTAATTTTACTGGTGCATCTTTTAGTATTCAAGGCCATTTGGGCAAATAATTGAAAGATTTCTCAGAAAAACAGTGGATGGCACTGTTGGTTTGCAGCTATAAAGCAATAATGGAAGCAAGATGTACTGCAATAAGAAATGGGCATGAGGTATAAATTCCAGTTGCGATTTTTGATTCTACAGAAGTGTTTCAGTTGCATGTTTTGGTTTGGATTCACGTTTAATTTATGAACTTATTCAAAACATTAATACATAGAGTAATGACTTAAGCTCTCTTAAAATGAATGATGTTGACCTGTGATTTTGCTCCAGTAATTGGATGATGAATTTTACCCATAGATTTTGGTGTTGTTGCCTGATGAAAAAAGTTCCAGGTATAGATCCTGAAACATGACCTTTTCTTGGTTTTGTCTGCAAACCTATGACTGAGTTCAACAGTGTGACAGCCCCAAAGTGGCTTATGTTTACAAAAGTGCCAGGTGAGCTTAAGTGTCTCACATTCTGAGGACTGCTGTCTTCAAAAGGCTGGTAATCACTACTCCTTTTGAAACTAAGCCTATTTAAGAGCTTTCAAGCTAGCATTAAGAAAAAAGACACATCAAAACATGCAGGACGCTTTTGAAAAACTAGGTTATAACGTAAATTTGCTATAGCTTGGTGCCAGGTTAAATTAATTCAAAGCAGTGTAAACACACTTTTTCAATTTTGTCTAGGTGGAAATAAACTAACTTGACCATATTGTTTTAGTGGCTGAGTAGATCAAAATTATTATTTCTTTATGGTATGGTCCTGTGTTGCCAAATCATAACTTGGTGTCCTTACCCTGTCTTTGAGTTCTTGCTTTTTCCGTCATAACATCTTACTGTGCCCCCAATCTGCCCTCTTCTTCTTTGAAAGAAAGAGATGTATCATCTCTTACAATACTTTATCCGTAACATTTTATCACACATACCATTTTCAGCTCATATATTGATTTTAGAAGATTCTTCTTATAGTGGGAACTTAGCTGTAAAAGGAAAAACCTTACTGATGCTTGGACTAATGACAATGAAGCAATTCAGCCTTTGCATTGAATAGCAAATACTACTATAACTAAGCCATTGTGGTTAGCATGCCTGTCCCAGATGGCTTGCCTCAAGAAGATTACATTCAGACTCAGGAACAGAAAAGGACATTTTTGATGCTATTTGGAAACCTTTTATGATTTTTATTTCTTAGAAGTGGTGTGTGGGATTTTTATTTCACTGTTGTTTTGTTAGTGATATAGTGAACTTGTTTGGCTCCTGCAGAGCTTCCACAGGGACTTTCTTTTGACTGGCTTAAACCCCTATTCTTTGCACTTTTATTTTTTTTAATTTAATGATGAAAAGTGTGGATTACATTGTTTAAATGAATGGGTGTTTTAAGTTCACTTCATCAGCATTAGAAAATGGAGATAAGTATAAGTTACAAAGAACTTTGACTCTTTTGTTTCAATTTCAATGCTTAGATACCCAAGTAGTAGATGATTCAGAAATGCAAAACAGTTATGCAGAATAATTCAAAAATAGAATAAATAAAGGCCCAAAGTACCCAGTCATATTTTGCTGAAAAACTCATAACCTGCTCCTTTAAATATACCTACCTTTCAACCCCTGGTTCCTTTGTGTTCTGCCTTTCAGAATCTGGTTTGAGGTGGTTAATGGGACTTCATGTTTTGATAGTCTGGAAATTCCTACGCAAGAACAGTTTTATGGTAGCTAGAAAATAATTGCCAGAAATACTATGGGAAAAAAAAAAATCTTTCCTTTAAAAATTCTAGTAGTTTTACAGAACTGGGATGTTTAATAGAACCACTGAGGATTTGGGCAGAAGTGGTGGGTTGCTCTCACTTTCCCTCTGCTCTCCACATCTGCCTGTTCTGACCTTCTGTCTGTTGTCTGCGGACAGACCTGCTAATGGCCAGCACGACCACATTTCTTACAAAGGAAAAGCTTGTGTACACTCATGCTATTATGAAATGGAAACTTGCTGCCCCTTTCAGGAGAATACACTTTGTAATTGTGCAGGTCATCAAAACAAGTACAAAGTCCTTCAAAGTATTTCTTTGAGCAAGCATAGTTTAAAGCTAATTTCTCAGAAATAGGGAAAGAAAAAACATAGTTTCAACTTCACAAATGTATTTGTTATTAGTAACTGCTCTGGGTCTGGCAAACTCTGTGACTATCACCCTCTCCCAAACTCTGTTTTCATTAACTGATGATCAGATGCTCTTGTCCTTCCTACAGGAGTTCAAGTTGTGTAAACTAGTGAAGCTCCTTTGACTTCAACAAAGTTCCCTTAATGGAAATTAATTGAAGACCAGTCTTATGGCTATGTTTCTTTTCTCCTAAATGAGAAACTCTCCTGTGTGAGAGTTACATGTTTTGGTCTGGGCATTTGAGATTTGTAGAGATTCAACTGTTACAGTTAGAAAGAGCTGAGGTTCAGAGACTAATAAAACACTATGCGTTTTTTACTTATATTCTACTTTTCCATGCAAATCATGTGAAGTGTGGTAGACCTTTGTTCATTAAACTAGATAACACACATATAGCTTGCTAAAAATTTCAAATTCTTGTACCACTTGTACACAGAGAGACAGAGACACAATCCTCCTATGCAGAGGTCGTTGCTGATGAGCAGACCTGCGAAACTTCTTAGTGCTATCAGCTGACTTGTTTCACATATAGAGTTTCCCATGAGTTTCCGTATTTACAGGATGGAGCGTTACATGCATACAATAAAAATTAAAATAAGGGGTGAAAAAAAGGAAAGAAGTAATAGACAGTGAATGAGTGAAATGAAAACAAAATATTCCTGCCATCTCTAAAGATTAGTTGATCTATATCAAACTTTGTAGCTTCAAGACACTTATGAATGCAACTCTTGTCAGCTGTTATAAAACAGTTTTCAGGAAAATGACTAACAATTGCCAGTGGTTGTTCCATTTTTTTCAGGTTCTCAAATGGGTTTGTTGGCCCTGTTATTTCAAACTTTATTATATACTGAGCAAGCACAATATGTATATCTCTAAAAAGCAAAAATCACAATATCCCAGTGCCAGTATTATCATTTCTCTAGATAACTATTTGTACCTAATTTAGAATTCAACATTTTCAGAGATATAAAACAGAAAACCAAATCCCGATCAGAGAATTTCAGAATTCTTCTTATGCACTTGCTGTGCTGTAATCCATCTTCAGATGCTGAGGTGTTTTTTTCTTCCCATCGTAGGTGAATCTGCTTGCCGGCCTGCTAAGCAGACCTAGACGCATTGCAGACTAGAGCTATGCAGACACCTGCCCCGTGCTATTCCCCCTGTGTGCCTTCATCCTCACTAGTTATACTGCTACTCTTCCAGCCCCGCACATCTACATAGAGCCTTTCTTTCTCCATAGCACTGTCCGGTGACTGCTCCATAGTGCTCTGGGCTAACATGGACGGAAAGTGTCTGTGATGCAGAACCTGCACAGACATCTTCAGTATTTTCTTTTGCTCCTGGTAAAAAAAAGAGAGACATGGGGTGAAAGACATGTTGACTTCTAAAGTCACCAGCTGATCTTTTGCTGTGTTGCCTTCAGACATTGGAAGATTTATCTTCAATATTCCTCATTTAATAAGATGCCAACCAGCATATGTATATGTGAGTAGAGATTTAGAAAATATGTGGGTTACAAGCACAGACAAAAATAAAATAACAGTCTCTTAAATCATAATAGTAACCATGGCATTTTCATCCTGGATCTCCATGACAGTTTTGCCTCTCAAAACTGTAAATATTACCACAAGGGATATCTATCCATATGTATCTCATGCAGAAGCTGACCAGCTCCATCTCTCTGGCTGTTTGAATCCAGGATTTAGCCCTCCAGTGAAGACTTATTTCAACCTATGAGAAAAAAAGTCATTACCATATACATAACAATTCAAACTGTTAAGGCAACATGCACTAAAATAAGCAATACCACAAAGGTTGTCAGTTACATGTAACATGAATGAATTTCATCACAGAAAGTTTTCAAATACAGTCACGAATATATGGCTTATTCATGTCAATCAGAAAAATGAATCAAAAATATTTTTGTCTGAATTTGATTTTGAGTTCATAACGTTTTATAACTGACAGGAAATTGTTTGTGAAATCACTATGAAAGATTTGCCATGGATGTGATATATGCATATTTTTCTCCTGTTGTTACATCTTATTTCCATTTTGCCAGCTGTGCATTAATTTCTAATTTCATAGTGCTACATTTTTTATGTTCAGACCATCATTCCAAAACATAGTTATGTTTTAATTACGTGCTATGAGGAGCTGATCCCCCTTGCCTAGGCAGACTGTGTTTCTCCAGAATTTGTGCTATAGGTTTTCTTAGTACTATAGCCTTTTCAAAGTTTTTTGAGTCCTAAATCCATCGTTTTCCCTGGAATTGAAACAAAAACCTACTGTAATTCTGAGCTCTATCTAAGAAATCTCGTTCGCATCTGAGATGACAGTGGTGATTCCCAGTTTAAAATATAGTAATGCTCCTAACTTTAGCTGCTCCTATTATTTATTCTGATGTAGACAGACAGGCATCTTGCTGCCTTTCCAACTCCACTGCAATTCTGTTGTAAATAGGGACCTCTCACTGTTTTACCTAAGTTTCCAAGGAGGTCTGAAGAAAACAAGGTTCTAATGTGGTGATGGCAGTCAAGTATTTGTTCAGAAAATAAGCATCATGTGTACTAAAAAGTTCCTTAATGTTTATAATTTCCTAGATATCCCACATGCAAGGAGAAAGTTTTCTCCTAGGAGGGAGTTCATGGGGTGCTGCCAGGAAAAGGTATTGTCCTCCCACCTGAGCAAGAAGTACCGGGAGAGGCAGGAGGAGGCAGAAGGACTGCCAAGAGATGACTCAGGTGTCATGAGGAGGACAGGTTCTGCTCTTGGCTCCCACTCCCACACTGCTTTAGTTTTTTTGACCAGGTATAGTCTAAATGAGACTACATACCCACTTCAGCAAGCAACCTCTGATGTTTTGTCTTAGTAGACAGCAGAGTCTGAGACAAGAATTGTTTTCCCTCTGACCTGCTCACCTTCTAATCCTGAAAGCTGTTCATTCCTGGCCCACATCCCTGAGACAAGGGGAGGTCCCAGTGTGCTGGAGACCTGTAGTTTCTGTGCTGCCCAGAGAGGACAGAGATGTGAATTCGAGCCCTCTCTGATCAAAAAGCTGGTTCTCCCAAACCTCTAGCAAATTATCTACATTCTAGGGTATGGTTAAAACCTGTGATGCACAAGTAATGCCAATTCTTCTAGCATCCTTAAAGCTATCAGCTCCATAAGGTTTTATCTCTAGTACAGTGTGTCAGGAAAGGCCAGGTGGTCTGGGTCCCCAGATCCTGTACCTGCCTGGCTTTGGCCTATACACACAATAGAAAGACAATTGCCTTGGTGCAAGTCTCTAAGGGTGCTTAGTCTTGGGGTAAGGGAGCAAGGTTCACTCTGAGAGGCTGAATGTAAAGCATAGACACTTCTGCAGCAAATTCACTCCATATCACAGTTTTACTCACCACAGGCAAGCTTTTAAGTTGGAGCAAGTCTCACTAACTAAAGCAACCAAGGAATTAGGGAAAGTGATGATTGACTGGAGTATAATTTATATTTCTTTTTGACTCTATAAATGCCAGCATATTTGGAATAGGTACTAAAAAATGCACTAAGGTGGTCCTTGTCACTTCCGACCTCAAATTCTTACTGGTTTAAATAGCTTTTTCCTTCTCAGGTTGCTTTATAGGAACAGAACCTCTGCCAATCTTCTGCTCGGTCTAAGCCGTCTTGCGCTGAAGAGGATAGTTTGGATAAATTCTGCTGTTTGTATATTTAATGCAACAGGCCCATACTGTATCATAATATACTGAACTTCATTAGAAATTAAACATTTTCAACAAATTTTATTCTGTTTCAAGGCCTCCAAGACCTTACAAAAGGGAATACATGGAAAATTGGTAAAGGGGTACATGAAAGTCCTCAAACAGATGTGTTTGGACAAGTATATTGTCATTAGTAAGGCTGCTTGTAAGCTGGAAGTTAATCCATGATTTCCTGAATGATAGACAAGTTTAGTCCTATTTTTTGCAAGGCTTTATTTTGAGTTAGGATCTGCATGTAGCTGTGGATTTTAAGTTGGTTTATATTGTTTCAAGATTCTTGAATGGGATTTTTGTCATTCCATAGCCATTATGGTTACCAAAATGTGATTTGTCTATCATCAATAAGGAGTGACATTCAGCAGAGACCATTTTTTTCTCAACAAACATACAGGCAACCTCATTAGTAAGTCAGGTAAAAGGAGTAGTGTATTCAAAATGATCTTTAAAAATTTAGGCTTAAGTCCTCAGTAATGTATATTTCCTAGTTCATTAATGCAGAAATACTGCACATAGATTTTAATCTTAGAGTTAATAATAAAAGCAATTTTCACTAAAAATATAAAAACTGTAATGGTAGAATCATGATATTGCATTTAGCTCTCCCACAAAAAGTCACTTTATTACTTTCTTTTGACACTTATTTTCATTCTGGGATTAATTTTACTATATAAGGGCTTCTTAACTATTCTATTAAAATTTCCATTCAGAAGCAATAATATCTAAGAGTGAATAATAGTCATGTAAATCATTATTTCATATTAATGTAAAAGATTCTGTAAGTTCTTATGAATTCTGCTGACATGCACAATTGTGAAAAGGTTATCTCTACATTCTGCAGTGATATGCGCTGGAACAAAGGAACTATTTTAAAAGCATCAGTGGAGTACATCAAGTGGCTACAAAAAGAACAACAGAGAGCCAGAGAATTAGAACACAGGCAGAAGAAATTAGAGCATGCTAACAGAAGACTTCTACTCCGAATTCAGGTTTGTATAAGAGCGTTGTCATGAAATACAAAGCTTTCTCAATACTTATCCCTCATCAGATTTTATTAATCTATATAATTTTTCCCCAAATGGCATTTATTAAAAATGAATTGGCTTTCCTTATTTATTGCTGTGTATATTGGGGAGGGGACATTTTTTGGATTTCTAGGAAATTCCTTTGATAATTAGACCTTACATAAAGGAACACACAGGAACTTAATAAAGTATTTGTACATCTTCCTTATGTATGTATTAGTGACAAGAAAGACAAAAATGGAAGCAAAAAAATATATGCCTGCAGCCAAAAATCAATATTGGACATAAAATTCCCTTCAGTATTATCATTTTCCCTTTGTAACCATTTCACATGTTACAATTCCTTGGCTAGAGTGTGCCATAATGTATTGGCTTGTGACATGAAGCAGCAGAATATGGCCCTGCATGGCTTGAAATGCAATATTTGAATGTAGACACAAATGAAGATGAGATAGACATAATCATCTTATACATGTGGTGATTTACACATATATCTGTATATCATAAACATCATCAAGTAAAGTATCTTCTCTTTCTCTGGATAGCAGTAGATAATGAACCAGAAAGTTGCAATGTTTTGCTGTCACCTTTATTGGGTTTAGTATGCAATGGTTTTAGAGAGGCTGCTCTACCTCATGTTCCCATAGAGGAGTTGCTTAATGACAGGAGGGAAAATGAAAACACTAACACTCGAGTGGCATATTTTCAGAGATTAACAATTTTGTATTTTAAAACATGGTCTCACAACTGGACAAAAGATATAATTAATTTGCATGTATGATCCGTATATTATGGCAATAGTTCTGAACACACTGTTTTGCTTTTTAAAGTCATTATCTAATTGTTTTTGTTGGAAATGTTAGGAACTGGAGATCCAGGCACGCGCACACGGCCTTCCAGTCATGTCTTCTCTCAGTGCTGTCAATTTAGCTGCACAGGTCATCAAGCAACAGTCTTACCCAGAGGAGAACTCTGTAGACTACTCTCAACAAATGCCTCTGGCACATGGACCAAATTCCGATGTTTGTGATGGATCTACAGCCTTTTCTGATCCACTTTCACACTTCACGGATTTGTCCTTCAGCGCAGCTTTGAAAGAAGAGCAACGGCTAGAGGAAATTTTACTGGATGACACAGTGTCGCCATTTGGAACAGACCCGCTCTTGTCCTCCACGTCCCCAGCCGCATCAAAAGAGAGCAGCAGGAGAAGCAGCTTTAGCACAGATGATGGAGATGACTTATAAAAGCAGAAAGGGCCTCATACTTCTCTAAACCACTTCCTAAAAGACTGGGTTGAACATAAGCGTGGTGTCTGTGCTTATTTTAAATACGAGTAAGAGATCCCCTGTGAAGATAAGTCACTACATGGCAAGGGTTTAAATCAGCCCTTACTCCACAGGAAAATGAGGTGGACATGAACTCATATTGCTTTACCCCAAATTCACACCCTCTGCTCACAGCCAATATTTGCACAGATCTTTCTTCACTGGGATGTTTTTACTGTCATTCCATGACTTTTTACAGCACTATGAAAATGGTTACCACAAAAGGAACACCCATGTACCAAAAGTGTATTCTAACTCTCTCTTCAATCTGCATTCACTACTCTGTGCTATAAACATGCATTTTAGTAGTTTTTAAATTTCTCTTTTTTATATAATTAAAACTTCTACAAACATGAAGCAACAGGGAACTATTTAAGCTGGGAACTATAGAGATGTTACAGGTTTTAAAATCTGAAAAAACAGATGGTAATACTTTCGCACAAGTGAAGTGAGCATGAAATTTAAACTGCGTAGGCCTCTCTTTAAAAGGAAAAAATCCATTAAGCTTTTCATGGAATTCCATTTCTTTAAAATTTCATTTGTAGAAAAAGAACAGACCTTTAATGTATGTTTTAATGACTCAGAAGAAAAATGGAAATTAACATAATGACAGAGACTCAAAGAGACAGAAAAAGATATGACATTTCAGGAGACAGACTGTATGGATGTACACGACTCAACAACGATACTCCGTGTTACAATTACCACAATTTAAAACAAGCGCTACCAGTAACAGTGCTATGTCAGCTGCTTATTCCAAAAATATTCAGACCGTGACCTTTTTTTGCATGGAAGAGATCAGAACTCAGAGACATAAGAGTGTGATTCTGGACAATGTTTTCAGTGTCCTTTGGCAGCACATTAAGGTTTTAGCAAAGGGACTGTACACATGCCTTTGATCCATTTGGAAAGAGAGGGAAATGACAAAATTCCCATTGCATATCACTTAAAAAAAAAAAAAAAAGAGAATTTAATTTAAAATTTGGCTTTGGATTCACTACAGAAAAGCTGAAAAGGAAGAGTTTTCAAACCAAAGGGGATATTCAGAAGCGTTGATGTGATGCACTGATTCCCATAACCAGCTTGCTGGGAGGGGGTGTTCAGAAAACATCTTTTGATGACTCAGTAAAGGCTTGGCAGTTAGAAGGCAGGTACAAGGCATATCATTTCTATACACAGCAAAATTCTGGAGACTGATGTATATTTCTGGAGGATATTAAGTGCAATCATTCTAATTGTAATATTAATACATGGGAAAATAAACTGTCACAGGTTCTACATATCTATTCCTCAACCAGAGCCAAAAGATCACATTAGGGAATTCTCTAATGATTCAAAATATGTTTCCAAATGTGTATTAATTTTGCTGGCACTAATCCTGTCTCATGCCCCAGAAGTGTCACAGGATTGGAAATATTAAGAAGAGATTTAAAAGGATTGTTGTTCGTGTTAATGTTTTAAATGTATTTAAACATATTATCCAAGAACAGAGCAATCAAGTCTTCTTATTGACTCTTCTGTTATGTACCTGGGTCCTTCTCACAGCCCTCATGAAGTTTGTGTTCCTCCAGGAGCATAGCCCATTCCTGACCAACCCAGATAGTGTCATGAGAGTTTCTTAACTGGAAAGTTAGCAGTGGGATAATAAATTACGCTCGGACGGCTATGAAAGGTGATGGAGTATCCAATTTCAGAAGAATATTTATGTTTATAGGACACTCAAGGATTTCTGTGAACCTATACAAACTACTTGGATGTATGCTGAACAGAGCAGAACTGATCTTGTTGCATGTATGGGGTCCCAGATAGCCCAGCACACACCTGACCCTCAGAAGAGGCCACGATATGCTTCCACTGCATGATTAAAAATAATAACAGCAAACAGTCTTCTGGTCTTTTTTTTTTTTTTTTTTAGCATGGAAGAAACGAATGGAAAGAAAAATGAGTATTAACTAAAGGTAATTGAACATAGAACTGATCAGCATTTTGATTGGAGTGATACTATAAATTAAGCTCATTAGAAAAGGAACCACTTTCTCATAGTTTTGCCAAAGACTAGCTAATATTGACATTTGAATAAAAAATATGATGAATTAAAAGTAACATTTATGCCCACATTATGTCTCGTGTAGGTTGTGTATTGTCCGTTTCAGCTGAGGAAAGGAGGGGACACTTGATTGATATGAAATGCCATTTGTCCCTGTACTGCAGTTTCTACTACATTAGTTTTAAATACACCAGTGTGGATTGGTCATAATGGAGAAAAAGAAATTAAATATGAATGTATTACATGATTTTCCCATTGAACTTTTACATGGGAGTTAGACCATACTTGTGAACTACATTGACTTTAAATAACATCCTGAATTTCATCACTTTTATAAGCACTGTTCTAAAAAAAACATTATAGTGCATCCATTAAAGTTTTTAAAGTTGCTTTTCATTATTCTGACAATTGCTTCAGTCTGAAGCACCAGATATTTTTTCTTCTCTTCCTGCATGAGAAACTTAACAGCATATAGCAAATGCTTCTTTTGCAACATACCATATTGCATCTATCATTAAACATATTGTCTGTCTTCATTCACACAAAAGTCCGAACCCCCTTGCCCAAAACACTAAATGTATCCATACCTGCAGGTGTGTATTTTGGGAATGTTGTTTCACTACCATTATGGGGTTTTTTCTAGTAGGAAGTCATAGTAATTAGTATTTTAACTAATAACTATACCCTGTATTACAGCATCACCCTTGAAATTAAGTGGTAATACAGGATGCAAGAAACAGTCATCTAAGGCAGCCTGGAGACGAATGGGTGGTACTGAAGGCATTTAGTGAGTGGTGTTGGCCATATCCCAGACTTGCTGGAGTAAGTGCTCTCTCTCCCACCCCAGGTTTGGTGAGGCTGCTGCAAAGCTGGGAGGAGTTAGGGCAGGGCAGGGCATGGTCCTACTGGCTTGCACAGAGGAAAGGGGTTTCATCACTACAGGGACCAATCCCAATGTCCTTCCTCAGGCAGAATTTCTTTGCTGTCCATGCCACTTTTATTGGACTAAAACATGGTGGAAGCAAAATACACTTTTTAGCTATTTCCTACAGAGACTTGTTTAATGAAATCTCCTGAAAGAGATGCATAATATGTCTGTGGTTCTGGGCCTAGAAAAAAATTTAAAGACTTCCAGAGCTTGTCCTCAAGCAGGGCAGGGGGTGAGGGGACCAGGCTATTTTTGTGGAGATGTATTAAATGAATTCCTGCTTGTTTTCAGTAGCAGCGGCTCAGAGCTGGTGGACATATTCCTACAGATTACACAAAACTGCAGACTGATAATTACACAAAAGGAAAGGGAGCTGAAATACTAACATCCTGTTTAATTCATGAAAGGATAGAGAAACCATACTAAGAACAGAAACCTAAATTATTCCATTGCGCATAGTGCGGATAGGGTGAAATAGTACAGTAAGTGCAAACAGTTTTAACAAACAGGAACACAGTTGCTTTATATAGTAAAATAACTAAAAATAATTCAGTCATTTAATCTTAATAAGAACATTGTTATTATAATACCTTTTGACTTTAATAGGGCTGTATATATGAATGGAGGATGTAAAATTATTGTAATTTAAAATTATGTTAAGTCTCTTAGATAAGTAAAGGCATTTACATTACTATTATGAGACTGTAGAATATTTTTATAATAATTGTTATTTTTCATTGTTAACCATATAGTATCTTGTTTTCTAAGTCAATGTATGCAGACAGAATGTACTTTATTACGCACTGTACATGCAATCTTTTTAAAAGTACGTTTTATACATGCTGGTATTTTATGTTTATTAAATGAACACAATTAAAGGACTGAAATTAAAACATCTCTTTGTACGTCCCTTATGAAACTTCACTATATGGTCCCTCACGGAATGCCATCACAAGACAATATAATAACATCCACCAAGAACATCTGAGATACCTAGCAGACAAAACACTTCGCAAGTGCTAAACATTTAGTCCATTATGATACATCATGATCCAGTAGCCTCCCATTAATAAAAATAATTGATACATTCTTTAATATGGTCTCCTGCCATCTGCTT